GGTGAGGCTTGGGCACTTGCTGGTGAAGACCGAGGCAAAAAAGTCATTGAGTACCTCCGCCTTCTCCGTGTCCCAGGTAACCAGGTCTCCCGTTTTGTTCCAGAGAGGGCCCACATTTTCCCTTGTCTTCCTTTTATCCCCGACGTACCTACAGAAGCTTTTCTTGTTGCCCTTGAAGTTTTGAAGACTTCTGAAGTCAGTTCAACGAGTGACAGATGTTCTAGGACATTTCTGCCAAGCCCCTTTCTCTGTAATAACTTGCAGTTATTACATAACTTGCAGTCCCATTTTCCCAAACAAGTAATTTTCCAGAAAACAAAAAGAAGGCCACAGGACATGTTTGTATTTGTAGCATGTGAGAGTTTACATATGCTCAGCAAAGAGCCACCTCTTCTATCACATTGGAAGAGCCTGTGTATGCTATTTCTTGCATCCAAGTCTCCAATATCATGCTGAATGCCAGGCCACTAAAAAGCTAGCTTGAGGGTAATTTCTAAACTAGATGTTTTCCCATATTACTTTTCAGCATGCTGCACAACATCCATGTAGTGCCTCACCTCATTTCTAATGCCTTCAGATTAATGCATTATAAAATTCAGAAGGCTGTAAGCAAAGGCTGTAAGTACATACTGCTGCTGGCTGCTCCCTAAACATCTTGAAATTCCACACTTCAACCTGTCACAAAATCCCAAGGGTTTCTGCCTCTCCTGTCATTCCTTTTCCTGAATGTTCAGTTTGCTTTCTGTCTACTTGCTATCTGTGTTTTTCTGTGCTCACTCGTGCCCTTGTCTGGGACAAACAGCTGTTGCCAGTGTGTGCTTTTCTCCTGGATGGGCTGCTGCTTTATTTGTGTGGCTGCTGCCCTTGGGAGCTGTTGCATGGATTACATCGGCATTTCAGTCAATGAGGTGAAGAGCTTGAAAGGAGTCACTGGTGCTTTCCCATTTCCCCAGTAAAAAGACCTCTTGGCAACAAAGGTGGAGTTTTGGCAGTCTTCCCTGATTCCTTCAGTTCTCTAATCACCTCTTCAGTAACCCCTCTGCCTCTTCCCTCCATCAGCCAGTGAATGACAGAAAATGACCTGGTCCTTGCATACCAGCTGTTCCCTGGCAGCTGTTAGATGGTGTCTTGGACTTGTGAGGCCAGTCACACAGCTGGGAGTTCTGGAGCAGGATTTACACATCAGATGTGTCACTTCCCAGTTCCAGAAAAGCATTCTGTGAAATCCAGAAGACATTTGCAGCTTAAAGTTGTATTGAGAGCATGCTAAGACAGATTCAGACTGGATAAAAGGAAAAACTTTTCACCATGAGGACAATCAAGCGGTTGATCAGGTTGCCCAGGGACGTGGTGCAGTTTCCATCCTTGGAGATTTTCAAGTCCAGAGTGGGTAAAGCCCTGAGTAACTTGGTCTGATCTCATAGGTGAACCTGCTTTGAGCCCAAGGTTGGACTAGAGACCTCCTGAGGTCTCTTCCAACGTGAGTTATGCCATGATGAGCAATGCAGCTTTGCCACTTCAGCAATTCTTCAAGTTTGGAACGACCCAGTTGTATTTAATGGGAACGAAAGCGATACACTTCTGCAGAGTTTAGTGGAGGAGGATGAACTGTCTTTGCAAGTGCTAAGCCAACCTTTATTAAAGAGTGCTATTTTTGCCATAACTGTATAGGGTATGTTCATTAGTCAACTTCATGGAAGGTGTTTTCATAAGGGTTTGAATGAAGACACATCCTCTGCTTTTACACCCACCATCTGTTCAGATTTTGCATGCAGTTACATATCTCTCTAGTTTATTCCAGTACATCTTCCATAGTTCCAAATTAGAGGCGACCCGTACAAGTCGATGTCAGGTAAAAATCTGTTTTTAATGTCTGTCCATTAGAAATTAATGGACTGCAAGACTGTGCCTCACAGGCCCAGCTCAGGAAGAGGAAACACCGTGAATCTCATTTTAACATGAACTCAAGAGGGTGAATCTTATGCGAAACCTAGGTTTGTGTTTGCCTACATAGCCTTCTCTGTCAGAAGAGATGAGCTCCTCCCAAGGGTGATTCAGAGCCAAAGGCCAACTCGGGACTTTTGACTTGCTTTCAGGAGCAACTTTTCTCACTGCAGTAATGATACAGAGAACTGGGAAGGCTAAGTTCCTAACGAATATTAGGAGTTAGAAATTAAGCCCTGTAAATTCTCCTATTGCCTGTTTACTCTGATGATGATTATGTGGACTGTGAAGTATTATGGACACTGCATTATTAACTAGCCTCATTAGAGAGCAATTGAGATAGCAGTGTCTGGTTTTGCAAACTGTTGAGGCAAAAGAGCTTCTGTATTCCACCTTCTCTGCTGCACTTCAGATTTAGGGGGATTGGATGTAATTTTTGCATTGATCCCATCTTTACACGGGTATGATGAAAAAATGAGTTGTTCTACTACATCTGAATCAGTAAAATCTGGGTGGTATGAGAAGTTCTGCAGATAACTCATTCGAATTTCTCACCTCCATATGTTTTATGAGGCAAAGCCCCATTCTAGAGGGCAGGAACAACCATTTCCTCTGCTAGGTAGTGCTGGGTTTTTTTAAGCTTGCAGTTGAAAAAGGAAAGAGAGAGGAAGCTGATGTCTACATACAGTATGCATCTGTATTGTTTTAATATTATATTTCTAAGGTTACATTTCTCTTGTCTTTCCCTAGATGCCAATTAAGTGGATGGCTCTGGAGTGCATACACTACAGGAAATTTACCCATCAGAGTGATGTTTGGAGCTATGGTAAATCTTCATATGATTAGTTTAAAAATTTGTCTCTTGTAAAGCATTAAACCAAGTTGTGTTACTGTGTTAAAGATACGCTCTTTTTCTAGAGGAGTTAATTCCAGTGGTTTTTGCTCTTCCTTTATTTTTCTTTTTCTTGCCTCTTTTTTTTTTTTTTTAATGTGTAACTCTAAACAGCAATTGTTACTTGTCTCCCACGTTACTTCCCTCACTAAAATACTTTATCATGATGTCCCAGCTGGGGTGACTGCCATAAGGTCTGGGCTGGTAGCAGTTTGGCTGATTATTATGACAGAAGAAGGCCTCTTTCAGCTCAGCCACAGACTCATAAAAATACAGCTGCAGGTCATAATTTTCAGCAATCCTTTGAAAATCTTAACTCTAAAAGCCATGAATGTCAAGAAACATTTTCAGGCTTATGGGACTTTCTCTACCTACAGTAAGATAAAAGGGAATCTGTCATAATACAGAGCAAATACAGCAAGAGAAAGAAGAGAAAGAGATGAGCTCTCCAAGCTAACTAAAACAAGCATCCATTTAATTTCACAGATAACTTGGGAATTGGTTAGACAGGTCAGCTCATGTGGACTCCACACACACCAAAAAAAAGTCACATTTGAGAAAGGAGATGTTCATTCACTGTTGTTAATTCTGTTATCCAGATGAGCTATTATGCCACATCTGCTGAGCTGTCTGCCTGTTTATCTAGTATAGCTATTACTAATAAAATCATGTATACCTTTGTAAGTGGAATTTTTCAGCAGTATCTAGGGCTTTGGACTCCTATTTGCATTTCCTGTTGCATTTTGAAACAAAAAGGTGTACAATTCTATTCATTACTCACTTTTACCTGTGGGTAGCAGCAAAAGACACTGTTTGCAGTGACTGGTTAGCTGCCCTCTTCTATTCAGCTCAGAAAAACATATGAAAGTTAAATCAATCATGTAAAGCTGCTCTTTCTGCTCAAATTCTGTATACTCCGTATCATGTAGGAAAAAAATATGCCTCCATTTATGAAATTCATTTTAAATGCAGGAAGCCCAGAATATCTATAATCGGAAAGGACAAGACCAAAAACAATTGGCAAGCTATAGTTATTGAACATTAACAAAGAGGGGAATGAGGGTAAAATAAATGTGTTTTATACATACGGTAATTTTGACCATCACCTTTCACATTAGTATGACAGCTGGCAAAATATGGTTACTGATCTGGAGGAATGTTTAAAATGACCTTTGCAATGAAGATAAAAGTTAAACTGGTGTGAAAGCAGCATTTTCAATATTTAAGATTTTGTTGGGGGATTAATTCTGTTACTTATGATATATGATCTTTATTTCCAGCTCCGATGTCAAAACAAATCCTATGGCTATTCAAAAACAGAATCTTGGTTTTGAAGCACAGCACTATCATAATTCAAATCCATAAGGTGATTTAAGGAAAAAAATAATACAAGTGGCTGTGAATGACTTACAAGGCAAAGACAATGACATAATGTTACTCACTGCTGTACCTTTGTGGGAAATTGATGCTCTAAGTTAGGGAACATCTGCGTTTTTTCCCCTTAAAATAATAGAGTACATCAGCCATTCATTTTCCCTTCTCATATGATAAAAGAGTGCAATGCATTCTTTTGTTATTGCATCCATTTACTTTACCACCATTTATTTGTCTTAGACCTTTCTCTTGTGCCTCAGATCTATCATGCTGCTTCTTACACCAATAAAAATGAGGGAAGTTGCTTTTGAAGATTAACACAAAATACTGTGTCACCATTTTCTGGAGCTTTTTAAATGGCAGACCAAACTTCAGTGTTTTTACAGGCACTGGTAATGAAGAAGAGATTGCAGTCCAGAACTGGGCCAGAATACTGCGCTGTAAGAAATTGTGAAGGAATCTGAGTAGTATGACCTCAAATCTTAACACTCTTTTTTTCTGTCTAGGAGTCACTATCTGGGAGCTTATGACCTTCGGTGGGAAGCCGTATGATGGAATCCCAACTCGAGAGATCCCCGACCTCTTGGAGAAGGGAGAGCGGTTGCCCCAACCTCCTATCTGCACTATTGATGTTTATATGGTGATGGTGAAGTGTAAGTAATTGTCGCTTTTAATATCCCTATGCTTAGTGCAAGACGGACACTGTTTTAGAACATTTGCATCTATAGTCTGTGACAGTGCTGGGTAATAGGACAGGCTGCTTCAAAACAAAAGCTTCCCGAGATACTGTAAATTCCATTTAAATACTGTATGCACATTTTTTGCAATTGCAAAAGATACAAATTTAGCCATGAAGGGTTGAGTTAGCTCAGCTTCTTATTACTGTCAGATGGTATCTCATATTCTCAAAATATTATGATTGTTATTGTAAACCCTTGTCATTTCCATGACAATTGATTTTGATGTTAAAAAAGATAGTATTAAACATAATTATGGTACATGGATACCCAGCCAGTGAAGGTTGTGAGGAGAAATGCTGGTTCCAAATATTGAGGAAAAAAAGTGTGAATGTTTTATTGTTAGTAACAAGAATGATTACTGCAATAGTAATAATAGAAAGTAAAATTAAATTAATACAAGAAATGCTACAGAGAGGATAATTTTTTATCGTTCTTAGTCCAGTATAATAATTTATGAATATTTTTACTTTAGCAAAAAAGGAAAACAGTCTGCACATGGTTTCTTCCTACCCTTTTATCTCCAAGGTACCCACACTACTGACAGTATCCTCCAAGGCTATGCTTCTAATTTAAAAAGAATTAGGAACATCTCTCTGGTGTTTCTGACTTAATTTAAGTGAGATTAACATACAGACATCTCATCCATCTTATATAGTCCTTTCCCTTTTGCTTTGTACACAAAAACACTGAAAGAAAGAAAATAAAACTAGAAGAGGTAAATAACCTATCTTCTGAAAACAGTTGTACTGTGCATGCAGGTATGGAAATTGTCTGAATAGCGCAAGGGGTTCATGTTGGTTGAGTGTAAAAATGTTCCATCTGATAGGATTTCCAATGAGTATGAAGCAAATCTCAGTGGACAAAAGGAAGTCCTAGTAGATGGGGTATTCTGGAAGACAGGAAGTTACAGCTAGACGTACAGACTTAGTCCTGTAACGTTTGTGTGAAATTCTTTATAAGCTATAGTAGCTTTGTTTTTCCTGTGTTAGTCACTTCTTCAGTTAAACAGCACGAAGGAGATAAGGCCTGCTTCATTTAGCCTCCCTGGCAAATGAGAACATGTTCTTGGGAAGCTGCTGATAGGATCTTCCATTAGAAAAAGCTGACACTGAGATAAACTAGTTGCTGGTGGTGACTGCCTATACTACTTGCTTGTTTTGCAAGTAGTATTAGCAGGGAAATAGCATTAGCAGGGATTGAGAATTGTTGTTCTTAATGAATGTTTCTTGGAGAGTGAAGGACAAAAGAATCACCCTTACTCAATTAAAATAGCATCTAATGCCTTGTGTAAGGTCTGTGTTAATGATGCAGACACGTGAATGCAGAATTACCTGAAAGGCAGATGTGAGGTCAGTCATCCTGTAGATCTATTGAACAGATCTTTTTAATCTAAGTCACTGTGGAACAGTCGGTCAGTTAAAGTAAAATTGTATTTAGTAGTAACTTTGTAATAAACCCACTAGACTCAGATGAGATCAGATTCATTATATTAGAGGTTGGACACATCCATAGTAAAAGACAGTCAGAGCTGACATCTAAATGGGCAAGATAGACACAGAAAATTCCAAGGCATTGTTGCTGTCTCTGTTTTGGGGATGGGAAACAGGAGCTTAGAGCAAATTAAGAATAAATCCATGCAGTGTGGAACAATCTAGTCTTCTCTGGCCAAGACCAGATGTTTTCCATTTTAGATGCATCATAGTGTTCTAGCTTTCCATTCTTCTGGGCTCTTTATTGCAACTTTTCTTTAGGCCAGAGCTATCAAGGACATCAAGGACTTCAAACTTGTGCATTTTTAAAAACTAAATGATTTCTTCCCTCGACAATTAACTGTTTTCTTTCTCATCTTTCATCTGTCCCCAGGCTGGATGATTGATGCTGACAGTCGGCCGAAATTCAAGGAGCTGGCTGCTGAATTCTCTAGAATGGCTCGAGACCCTCAGAGATACCTAGTAATTCAGGTAAGCAACTCTGCAACATTGGGGGGAAAAAAAAGAATTCTGTCTGCCAAACCTGACTGTTAAGAGATTCAAAGGCAAGCCCCTTAAGTTCAAGGTGCTCTTGAACTTAAAGCAAACAGTGACCACAGTACTATACAAGAATGAAGTAGAATGGCCAGTGTCAGTACCTCAAAAATAATTACCTCAAAAATAATAATAATAATAATAATAATAATAATAATAATAATAATAATAATAATAATAATAATAATAATAATAATAATAATAATAATAATAATAATAATAATAATAATAATAATAATAATAATAATAATAATAATAATAATAATAATAATAATAATAATAATAATAATAATAATAATAATAATAATAATAATAATAATAATAATAATAATAATAATAATAATAATAATAATAATAATAATAATAATAATAATAATAATAATAATAATAATAATAATAATAATAATAATAATAATAATAATAATAATAATAATAATAATAATAAAATAATCTGAAATTAACTTCCTAAGCTTGTATTTATGAGTACATATGCAGGATCTGGCTTTGCAAGCTGCTCAGTACTTTGCATTCTCTCATGAAACTGGGGACAAGATTTATCCGTCAGTGGACAGTGGACCTACTTTAGACCCAGGACTTGTTTGGTTCTACAATTGCTTAAGCTGAATCTCAGGGGATTATCCTGAAGACACTCTTCCCTGCACTGCTGAGATCATAAGAAAGTTTCTTTTCATAGCCTAAACATAAAGGTTTCTCAGAAGACAGGGAGTTGTGTCACATTGGTACCTCTCACACTAGAGAGGAGCTTCCCTCTGTGTCCTCCTTAGGCTGTGTAGGCTCTGTAGTGCTTCACAGTCCCTGCGATAGACCCACGTGAGCATGATTCATCACATGAAATGGGATGCCTACACTGTGGCAGTAGGGCAATACCACTGTATCCATATCTGTTGACTACATCTAGCTGGAGCTGTGTATGCTCTGAGTATAGGCGTCTGTGGAAATTTTTGTCCTTTCACTCCTACATTCTGCTGAAGCCTAGAGTTGTGTATGTGTTTATTACAACTCAGCCTCAAGCCACAGAAAATGAATCCCAACTATTTGGTAAGGTCCTTAGATGGTCCCAGTGTGTGAGCAGTTCAAATGAAAATGAAAAATTAAAAGAAGTAAGGTGATGTTGAAACACCAGAGACCAAAGCATGGAATTAGTTTGATCTAGGTAATGATACTCTCATGCTGTATCTCATTCTATATCTGCTCCACATCATGGAGTACAGGGCAGAGATACATCCAGCTGGTCCTTAGCTTCACACTGACATAAGAATTCCTAGCTGAAGAGCCTCCAGAAGTACAGTCACTGCCACTTTATGTCTCCTGATTGCTTCTGGATCTAGTGCTAGTCTCACCGTATGGTGTTTCATTTCACTGTGTAGACATGCTGGCCTACTCACGGTGTATTATTGCACAGTGTGAATGTACGCTACTCTCCTACAGCTTGAGGAGAAGTAAAATATATTTGAAAAGTAAAATACTAGTCAAGAGGATTTGTGGTGCTGAATGTGGAATTTCTCTTGCAGTATTCCCCACTGTGTTAAATTGTAAGTTCAGCTCATAACAAGTGATTCTGGAAAAATCAGTCTGATTAAATTACTTCATTATATAGGACATGTTTCCCTATTCCAAATACCTCTTCCCTCCCTTTCTCTCCCCTGCCCTTCCCTCCCCTGTTGTATAGTCTGGTGGGTATTTCATCCTGTGAGGCTTCTTCTCCAGTGATCCTTGCAGACAATATAGGCCATGTGCTTCTTGAGGAGAAACCAGGGTAACTCCATGGCACTGGTATCTCTGCCATTATGACTCGCCATTCCCGCCAGATGCAATCAAGAATGACAAGCTTGCTGTTGAGCTTTTAAACCGGTCTATATGCACCCTGTAGCATAGCCATCATTCCCTGCTGGATTCCACACGTGGCATAGTAATTCTTGCGGAGTGGGAGGCCATTCTTTAGCCATGCAGTTAAGTTAGCATCATTTCTATGGGCTGTTAGGTGTTTGGGGCACGGGCTGCCTTTTGTGATGTTTTGTGGCACCAAGCAAAGTGCAGCCCTGATTTGCCTCCCCAGCTTGTAGATGCTATTTCAATACAAACACCTATCATTGTTGTTGCTGTTGTTCCCTGGTTTGATTTTTATTGCTTTCAGCTCTGTTACATTCTGCAGAACTTTCCATGTGGATGAGAGGGAAATTTAGCCTCTAAGTTCCTAAAAATACAAATGAAAATAAAGCAAACACCCAGACACAGCAGTTTCCATGTTATTTTCCCCCCCATGTGAGCCTAAATAGCTGAGGTATTTCACAAAATACATCAGGCCTTAACAGAACTTGGGTCAGAAACTGAGTTTGTATGGGAAAAAGAGAGAAGAAAGAATAAAAGCTTGATCACAAGAACGCCAAAAAATGACTTTGCTTGATTTATGCAGTTATTCCCTTTCTGTCATCATATTCCCAGTAAAAAAATCAAAACAAATGATGTGGATGTGGTGCTTTAGAACAAACAAAGCAGCATGTGTGGTCCCTGCAGCCTGGCTGCCAGGGTATGAAGAAGGCTGAAGTTCCCGGTTTGGGAAATTAATCCATCTTTTGACCATTTTCCTCTCTCAATACAACCTATTTAGGGAGATGATCGTATGAAGCTCCCAAGCCCAAATGACAGCAAGTTCTTCCAAAACCTTCTTGATGAGGAAGATCTGGAAGATATGATGGATGCTGAAGAGTATCTTGTTCCTCAAGCCTTCAACATCCCTCCTCCCATCTACACCTCCAGGACAAGAATTGATTCCAACAGGGTAAGAGCAAGCTCTGACAGAAAATACTGGTTATTATAAAAGCACAGGTGGAGATTTAAGTACACTAATCAAACACAGGTCAGAGTTGCCTTGGGAATCACAAGTTTCCATTGTATGGAGAGTGACTATAAAAATATTGTCACTGGGTTCCCTGTTCATTGTGCCTCAGTGAATTCTAAATTAATAGCTCAGCCTTGAGTGAACAAAGGCTCGACTTGAACTGCCTGTCCTGAAAGCACAGCTGAGGCTTGTGAAGTCAAGCAGTGTTGTTTCTCAGTTGTGTACCATCCTGGCCAGGAAGTGCATAGCTCTGATTCTCCCATCCCTGCAATCCTGTTGTCTTGACAGGGTTGGCACTGATGTAACTGAGGGCAGCTGGAATATATAGATAATGCTGCTTTTGTGTCTGGAGCCAGATTTCAGACCCAGCCCCTTTTCCTGTTTGTGTGTGATGCTTTCATGGCCCTCCTTCACAAGCATGTGTTTTTGCTGAGCACGTCCCAGATTTTAGCATGTTGATCTTCATAACGTCCCTGTCAGGGGAGGAAATGCTCTTGATTTTACAGGGGCAGCTGAGGCACAGAGAGTGTTCAGGTGGAATTCAGCTCACATAACTCTAACCATCAAAAAGATAGGGATATAATCTAAGCTCTTCATCTAGACTTCCTTTCATGTCCTTGGAGAAGAGTGGGTGCGTCCTGTGGGTGATTATTGTTGCCTGTCTTGGACATTTACAGCGGGAAGAGCTACTTTCTGGAGGTGTCTTTCTCTATCCACTGACTACTGACAGCTCCAGAGCAGTCTCAGACCTGGTGCCTGAGCTCTGGTGAATTGGATCCTGTCCTAAATGCCTCAGCCTCAGTGCCACAGGAGCCCTGCTGCAGGTGGGGACCTGAGTTCAGGTTTCCGGAATTCCTTTTCACTCCTGAGCTCCCTGCCTGAAGCTCTGACCTCTGCCTGTTCCTGCGCTTGGCTCCGTCCTTTTAACAGTTTAGGTGCCACCCCTTCTCACAAAACTAAGAGATGGTGAATACATTACTAACGTGAGGACATTCGCACAAGCACCAGATGTATTTAGTAATTAGGGACTTGTTTGTTTGTTTGTTTGTTTTCTCTTCATGCTCCTTTTAGCGGAAAGTCACATTTTAAATACTCAGTGGAGTCTCATTGAAATGTTGGTGTTTATTCCTCATGCTTTAGAAACCTTTTGGACATTTGTCCTTAGCCGAGGTAGTTCCAAATTCACACCCTCGTCTGAACTGATTACACCATGTGAGGCAGGGAAGAGGTAAGTGAAGGAGCTAAGAGTGTATAAACCAGATCAGTGTTCATGCTCTGACCATACACTGCATGAAGTTCTTTCGCCTCTCCTGAGTAAAGCAGCGCTTTTCTGGAATAAGGAAGACAAAATCTGATCTTAAATAATATCCAGTCAATTCATAAGGAAATTGTTACTGTTTTTAAAGGCAAGGAGACTAGAGAGGTCCTTGGAAGAGACTGGGTTGTAGTCCCACTGACTAAGCTGGATTCACGTAGCATTTCTCCTGCATCACTGAAAGGCAGTGAAGGAGCGGTGATGCATGAGGGGATGATGCATGATTTAGCAATAAGCAAGAAACTTCCTCTTTATGGCAACAAGAGTTAATTTTTAGTGTTGATGCTGATCTGAAATAAGTCAGTTTTGCTCCTAGCTGTCTCTGGAGAGGTTCTGTTTCCTTTGCTGCCAACTTCAGAGAAAAGAAGGAAACGACAATAGTTACCTTTGAAAGGTGCTCACTGTCACACTGATGTAAATCACTGTAGCTTAGTTTTACACAGTTGAGTACTACCATTTACACCAACATAGGGTTGAGAGAGCAGTCTCAGACCCATATGGTTTGCTATATTCATCTCACTCCCATATTTGCTGGAAACACTGGGGCACATTTAAAGGAGAAAGGATTAGTAGGAAAATGTACTTGCCTTTTCAACAGTTCCTTTTGCCCTCTGTCTTTAGTGCCAGCCAAGCAGAGGAGTCCACTAGAGCTGAGGGAATTAATTCCAGCAAAAATCCTAGAGTAAATATTCTGAAAGAGTTATTTAAAATGTGCTGTTTGGGCAGCCAACATGCTCACTGGAATATTCACGGAAAGCAAATACAGGCATGCATTATTAATATTTATTATTATTTATTATTATTATTATCAAATTCAAGTAATTTTCTCACGACCTTTGGCCAACTTTAAACCACGCTGTTGCAGCTGCTTGCACACATGAGATCCCCTTGAAGTCAGCAGAGCTGCAGAAAGAGACCCTGTGCCTTTATTTTTGCCCCACAGAGGCTCCGTCATATTCTTGATGTGACGTCTCCTCTCCGCAGCTCACAGTTTCCCATCTTGGTTTGAGACTGTGATCTTGTACCACTAAAGTCAGTGGGAGCTTTGCTTTGCAATTTGATTTAATGACAGTAGTGAGACTGTATCCTTCTTTCAGTAACTCGTACTGCTGAGAATTTTTCTTTGGCATCATACAAGAATCTAACACTTAAACAGATCTGGAATTACCCTTTGTCAAAAGTTTTCAGATTCTGAGCCAAGTTTTCTGACCCAGGTAACCTCGGAGAGGGCAGCTGGGGGACAGAAAGCTTGCACCCAGCTCTGTATTTTTGCGCCCCTCCCATCTTTATAAGTGTTTTTCTTTATTGCAGGAGCCTCTTTATGGAGGGGTCATTTTTAAGGCCAAAAGAAGAGATGGGCAAAGAAGTTGCTATTGAACAACCAGCTGATTTATAGTAGCACTTGCTGGTAGGAGACTGACTCCTGTCCTGTAACAGGATTACCAGTAGAATTTTGACGCTTGTCCAGTGTCTCAGAGTGGCTTCAGTCTCAGCTTTGTTTGCTAACAATTCTGCATCTCCTAAATGTACTGCTAGTACTGCCATATAGGCGCGTACATCTAGATTGCAGGAAGGCCACAGCACCTTGTTGCTGGAGGGGCTTGGGGCCAAGTTGAAAGCCCCATAGCATCTTAGCATTCTTGGTTTCCTTTGCAGAGAGGTTTTTTCTGGATGTAGTACATTTGTTTCCTCTGTGTGCAGAAAGCTACATGCTTGTCTATTGTTTTTCTGAAGCACTCAGGTTCTTGGTACATTAACTATTCTTCCAGTGAAGATTTGTGTTGATTTAAAACAAAATACCCAGTAGCTCCTTTAAGGTAATAGTGCATCTGCTGTGCATAGTTCAGTACAGATGGACGTCAGCTACAAGAATCAGACAGAACTGAAATGCTGTCAGGGCTCTCTGTCTGCAGTTGTCTGATTCTGTCTTTGTGTTTCCTTTGGATAGTTTGTGATTTATGCTTGTTTGATGTAGTGAATATTAATATTACACAAACTCATTATGGTGTTTGTGTAATAGCTACAGCCATAGATGCCAAAGGAATTGATACAGCTTAGGTAGTTTGTGTTCACTGTGTCTGGCAAATTAAATTTTATGGGGAGATTGCCAGACAATTTGGCGAAGTAGAACACCCAGACAAGAGCTACATGATCTTCATGTCATTTTCAGAGATCAGAAGCATGAAAGATACTGTGTTTCCCATCTTAGTTGTTCTGATTGTAGTTTTAGTGAAGAAAGAGTCGGTTATGTGATGGCAGAGTATTGTGCTCCTTCTCTGGGTGTATTGTACTGACAGCTTCAGATGAATGTTCCAGCAGCACAGCTCTACTGGGGACAAAAGTTTGCAGGAAGAAAGCAGGGAGATCGTGAGCCTTCTCACACTTAGGCTTTGAAGTCAGGGAATTAAGGAAGAGCAAGAGCATTTACTTTCTAAGGAAAGCTCTGAAGTTTCTCTAGGGTGATCTCGGTACTAAATCCTTGCAGCTTGTTGCTGGGGAGAGGCATCGCTGGATGAGGTTTGCGTAAAACACTGCCTGCCTTCTCCCTCTCATGTGAAGAAAAAAGCTATTTGGATATGAATTAATAGCACAGAGCTGCAGCCCATGGAAAGAAGACTGGAAAGAGGGAAGCCTTCTGGAGAGTTTCTGGCTCCCCGGGAAGTGTCACATCCTTCTTCCTCCAGGAATTACTGAGATTTATGAAGCTGCGAGGCTCAGACACAGCTTCAGCATTTCCATCACACCCACACTGGCTTCATACTAGCACACCTTTGGGACCTGTACTGCCAGGAACAGAAGCCTGCACATGCTCTAGCCCGTAACAGTGCCCTCTGTTATGAAGTCCAGCCTGAGACTGATGCAGCTTTTAAATAAAAATTAGCATCCTAAGCTAAACTGAATTCTTTCGTTGCATCTGAAACTCTTCAGTTGCAGTTTCAGCTCTTCGGCTTTTTCCAGCTTTTATTTTCCGTTGTCTAGAGATATTCTAGAAATATGGAGTTTTAGAAGCTCTGTGCTTCTGAGAGATAAGCTGAATCCTCGGCAGTGTTTCCATGAGCACAGGACCCCAGCTAGTGCTCGAGTGTCCTACATTCACAGCCATTAGATGATTCATTCAGGTATTTGTAACGAGTACTGTCCTGTGTGCACAGAGATAATACTAATAGAGAAAGCACTCTGTGTACCCCATGATGCTTTTTACTCTAAATCCTTGGCTAATTCCAGCTGAAAACTGTCTATACTGTTTATTACTCACTGATACTGTCCCTGTAATTTTATTCCATAGCCTATATATCATGGAAGTACCTGACAACCCTGCAATTAAATATCAAGCTATTTTTTTCAGAGGTGTCTAATTCATATGTCCAGGGAGACTATTCTGCTTGGCTAAAGCAGACTCTGGTATGCCAAAAGCCAGTTTTCAGTTCCCTGAGTAATGTCTGTTATGCCATTGCAGCGGTCCTGGTGCAGCGTTAAGTCTGGTAGTGTTTCATGGCTGAACATCTGTATATGTCTGCATATAAAATGATTATTCCAGAGGGAAACCAGGCAAGAAGTTATCTCTATGATTAATTTGTTCTGGTTTCTAAATTTGAAAGGTAACCATTTTCAAATCACAAGATTA